CTGTATATAATTATATCAACTTAAATTGGTAAAGTATATAGTAATACCAACTTAAATTGGTAAGTTTTTTATATACTTTAGTATTTGGCATATTATACAGGGTTAATCAGGGGTTGGTTTTTTATCCTAACTTTGACACATCCTGTGCAATAATTTCGTGTGTAAATTTTCCTAAAATATAATTTTACGGTCAGAACCATGTCTCCTGAGCATTTTTTTTTGGATCATGTTAATACTTGCCTTGGTTAATTTTGCCACCAACAATTTGCAATTTTTTCAATTAGAATTCCTTTTTGAAATTTTTATTTTCAATATGACAAGGCAGCTTTGGTGATTATTGTGAACTATACATGGTGGGCCACTGAAAACTTACAATGGCTATAATTTTTAAACCAAAAAAGATATCAAAAAAATAAAAAAATACCGTTTCTATGATATCGAAGGGGAATACATATGACGTATTTTTTGAACCACCCCGACCTACCCCTTAGGCGGCACCCCTGCTCACTTGAAAATCTTAAATGGCAACACCCCACTTGTGGCGCCTTTTTGGGAAGCTAAACGATAATCATAACGTTTTTAGTGTTAAATTGAAAAACTACCCCTTACACGAAAAATTAGGTGGACATTAATGAAAAAAGTGATTTTTCAGTATAAGTTACAAATTGGGACCCAGCTTAATGAGGCAAATGAGGTATTTTTCAAACCACCCGGACCCACCCCTAGGTGCCACCCACTCACTTCTAATCTCAAGATAGCGATACCCCACTTGTGACACTTCTTTGGAAAGCTAATTGAAATTGCTAAACGATGGTCATACAGATTTCAACTTCTGTCTTCTTTCAACAATTACTGGTAAGTAGTGATAAGAAATGTAGCTATGACAATTTAAAAAGAAATTTAAAATGATAATTTATTTTAACAATTGCTCAAAATGACAGCCGTTTTGTTCCATACAAAAATACAAACAATTTTCAAATTCTTCTCTCACTTTTTGGAAAGTCTCTCTGGAAATATTTCGACATGCTTCAGTTATCCTCTGCCGCAATTCTTGCAACAAACCTGGTTTTGTCTTGTAGACTATGGATTTAGTGTAACCCCACAAGAAAAAGTCTAAAGTAGTGAGATCAGGTGACCTTGGCGGCCACTCGATTGGACCCCTTCTGCCAATCCATTGCTGTGGATAATATCTATCCAACCACCGCCTTGTAACAATAGAATAATGCGGAGGGGCTCCATCTTGCTGAAAGTGTATGAGGTCTTCATTAAGAATTAAATTTCCTTCCAAATCTCCTTCAGCTGTATATAATTATATCAACTTAAATTGGTAAAGTATATAGTAATACCAACTTAAATTGGTAAGTTTTTTATATACTTTAGTATTTGGCATATTATACAGGGTTAATCGGGGGTTGGTTTTTTATCCTAACTTTGACACATCCTGTGCAATAATTTCGTGTGTAAATTTTCCTAAAATATAATTTTACGGTCAGAACCATGTCTCCTGAGCATTTTTTTTTGGATCATGTTAATACTTGCCTTGGTTAATTTTGCCACCAACAATTTGCAATTTTTTCAATTATAATTCCTTTTTGAAATTTTTATTTTCAATATGACAAGGCAGCTTTGGTGATTATTGTGAACTATACATGGTGGGCCACTGAAAACTTACAATGGCTATAATTTTTAAACCAAAAAAGATATCAAAAAAATAAAAAATACCGTTTCTATGATATCGAAGGGGAATACATATGACGTATTTTTTGAACCGCCCCGATCTACCCCTTAAGCGGCACCCCTACTCACTCGAAAATCTTAAACGGCAACACCCCACTTGTGGCGCCTTTTTGGGAAGGCCATAAAAAATGCTAAACGATGATCATAACGTTTTTAGGGTGAAATTGAAAAACTACCTCTTACACGAAAAATTAGGTGGACATTAATGAAAAAAGTAATTTTTTCAGCATAAGTTACAATTTTGGACCCAGCTAAATTAGGCAAATGAGGCATTTTTAAACCACCCCGACGCACCACTAGGTGCCATCCCCTCACTTCTAATCTCATCAATGCCATTTTTAAACCATTGCCATTTTCAAGTTAAAAATAAAAAATCTATATAATAAAAAGGCAACACAAAGATGTTTTACTAATCGTTCAGCCTAATTTTGCGATAACGCAAATTCTTCCTTATCATCTATTTTTTTACTTTCAACAGACAGGAACCTTAAAAGGCATATCTTTGCGTTTTTGCACTGTCTTCTATCGATTTTCAATCGTATGCAAATTTGGTAGTATTTTAAACGTTTATTTGATTCGCTTATTTGAAAGAAAAATGGTTTATCCTGTGGAAGAAAGAATTCAAATAGTTTTTCTTTATGATGCTGAAGGTATGTGTTATTTGAGAACGGCCCCTGCTTTCAATGAGAGAAATCCGGACAAAAACGTAAGTCACGTTTATGTTTGGTTTGGTTTGGTTTGGTTTGGTTTGGTTTGTGAGATTTGATTTTAAAGTTTCAAGAAACTGGGTCGGTTAAAAATAAAAAAGGATAGGGCCCAGGGTACTGAATGAAGATGCAGATGGAAGCTATTAGTCAGTTATCAGTCAATCCAGAAGCATCAACACGCCAGTTGGCGTAAATCACAGGTATACCTCAAATATCTGTCAGGAGAGTATTGAAAATGCACAAATTCCATCCCTACAAAATAAAGATTCTGCAGGAACTTGGCGACGACGATCCAGATAGAAGGTTTCAGTTCTGTGAACTAATGACGGAGGAAATTCGAAGGAAACCTTCACTCACTAAAAATATTTGTTTTAGTGATGAGTGCTCATTTTTTTTAAACGGAATTGTGAATAAGCAGAACTGCAGATACTGGAGCAATGAGAATCCGCATATTGTTGTTGAAGGACACACCCAACATCCCTAAAAGTTCAATGTTTGGTGCGGAATACTAGGCGATAAAATTATAGGTCCATTTTTCATCGACGGAAATTTGACTGGTGATGCTTATGTGGAAATGCTGAACAATTTGATAGAGCCAGCCATTGTAAATGAGGTTGAAAATCAAAGAGATTTGGAAGGAAACTTAATTCTTAATGAAGACCTCATACACTTTCAGCAAGATGGAGCCCCTCCGCATTATTCTATTGTCACAAGGCGGTGGTTGGATAGATATTATCCATGGCAATGGATTGGCAGAAGGGATCCAATCGAGTGGCCGCCAAGGTCACCTGATCTCACTCCTTTAGACTTTTTCTTGTGGGGTTACACTAAATCTATAGTCTTGAAGACAAAACCAGGTTCGTTGCAGGAATTGCAGCAGAGGATAACTGAAGCATGTCGAAATATTCCGAGAGAGACTTTCCAAAAAGTGAGATAAGAATTTAAAAATCGTTTGTATTTTTGTATGGAACAAAACGGCTGTCATTTTGAGCAATTGTTAAAATAAATAATCATTTTAAATTTCTTTCAAATTGTCACACCTACATTTCTTATCACTACTTACCAGTAATTTTTGAAAGAAGACAGAAGTTGAAATCTGTATGACCATCGTTTAGCAATTTCAATTAGCTTTCCAAAGAAGTGTCACAAGTGGGGTATCGCTATCTTGAGATTAGAAGTGAGTGGGTGGTACCTAGGGGTGGATCGGGGTGGTTTGAAAAATACCTCATTTGCCTCATTAAGCTGGGTCCCAATTAAATATTTTTTGTTGAAATAAGACACAATAAAATCTCTTGAATACAATTTGTTGCTCTACTTTTGTCGCCCCCATTCTCATCAATTTTTATAATCATTATTATTTACCATTTTTAAACTGATTAAAGTACACCAACATTTTGTAAAATATTACTTTTAGTGTAAGGATAGTGTGTTAGTAAACATAGCCGAAAATCACAACCTAATAATTTTTTTTATTCAAACATGAATAAAAATGAACTTTGTTGCTCTACTTCTGTCCGATAGTGTAAATATATATAGATTCAAAAGAAAAATTGAATCCGGAATTAAATCATTATATTAAAATACCGTTTTCAGTTATCACAATTTTAATGTACCGGATACACATTTTATAAAAAAAAATCTGCCATATTAATGTGCTGTTAATTTTATATAAATCACGACCATGTACAAACGAAACAAGCAAATAAAACTCACAAATTTGGATAACATCACAGTGCAATATAATGACAAATAAATTTGTAAAACAAAATATTAAATAAATAAACTGTAACATATGTTAATGAGGTAAATGCAATTGTATTTGAAGTTTGCTATTTACATACATGCATAAACATAAACATGCATAAACATACATGCATAAACATACATGCATAAACATATTTACATACATGCATTTACATACATGCATAAACAATGGTATACCATGTGATCAAATGGAGAAATCACCGTAGGCGCCGTAGTTAGGGACAACTTATAATCAGATATTTAAAGTTCTTGATACTTTAAAATAACAATATAAATTGTTTCCAAATAGCGAACAAGTGTTTTAAGAATACTTAAATTCTTTTGTATTGTAGTTTAAATATTTAACATGAACTTTAAACAGCTTAATAACAGCTGTCTTTGTTGAAAATTTCAGCAAGACTTAAAGTGGTAGGTATCTTCTTCGTCTTTATCAAAATTATTAGAATTGAATGTGGATTTTTGCAAAAATAATTTTTAAATAAATTCACTTTGTTCAGATGTGTAACAAACAAAAACACACAGTGAAAGAACTAAGCTTAGATACGTTTGGAACTGGACTATGAAAAAATGTTGGAGGTAAAAGATAAGGAAACATCATCAGAGCACCTCATCACTGAATCTACTGTTTCCTCCTTTTTTGAGTGATAACTCAACACAGTAGATTCTATAAGGATGCGGTGATTAACTTTTCTCCTCCCATACAATCTAGAATATATAATTTTACGCCCATTTCTGGATTCATTCTCATTCAATCACACGGTACTTCAGCACAATACTCCACTCAAAACGTACCGTTAAATTTACTGGTAGGCAACAGTCCGCTGTTCAGCATAGACAGCTTGATCGCATTGGGAATCGACGTAAACGAATTAGCAGCACTAACATGCCGTTTCTTCCTCGGCTTGTCCACCTCATTATTATACCGAGGCGTCGACCTTGATCTGTGGTGCTTCTTGTTGACCGTTCCCGTAGAGTGCGCCTTGTGCTTGGTCGTTTCCGGGTCGCTCGACATGGCGCACCGCCGTTCAGTCCTCCCTGCGCCCGTCAGAACCGGCCGCCGATTGGCCCGTGCGTGCCGGTTGAAGCATGAGGGAGATCTGTCATTGCGGGATGAGAACGGAAATCAAGTGAGGCTTTCGAGGTGATTTAGGACGGGCGATTCGAAACGGCGGGTGAGAACGATAAATTTCATGCCAGGGTTAGACGGAAGGTCAGTAGTCGATGTTTGCGGATTAATGGATCGTGGGTAGGGGTAATTTGTCAGCGGCTGGCGGATTGACGTATGCGTAACCTGAAATAGGAAGAGAAATTAGTATATTATGTGATAATGTTCTACAGGGTTGTTCAGGCTATTCGACACGGAGATTGTAGCCAAATGATTAAATTTATAGAAACTGTAAGTTGTGGGATCATTGCGAAGGACTACTAGAACTACAATTTAAAATAATTTTCAAGTACAGGGTGTCCCAAATAAATAAAAATTACCAAAGTTGTATTTTTTTAAACGGAGCCCCCTGGATATTAATACAGTTTTAGTACGATTAAAATATTGGTAAATTTGATTAAGGTTTGCCTTACCTAAATCTTGCCGTTTTTGAGATATTTACAATTTTCTTTTTCCTAGGCGTATTTAAGTTTTTAAAATCACTTATACACACGTAAGCAATTAATAGTAGCATTAAAAATATTCCTATCTTATACAGAATATCTAAAAAATTATTTTAAATAATAAACTAGCTTCAAACTGCAATAACTTGTTCAACTTAAACGGAACACCTTGTATATTTTACAAACATCAGATACAATATTTATTTATATATTAAATTGTACTATACTATTTTTTTTTTCCTATGTCTTCAAATCTTTATAGAAAATGCATTTTCTTATATTTTATACCTTATTTATTTATCAATATACCTATGGAATCTTGACATTTTAGATTTTTTTTAAACAAGTAAAAAATTCGCTCAATGTACAGATGCTAAAACTTATATAATATTCCTAACTCATTTATTTAGAAACTGTAATAAAATTTGACAGACAATTAAATTGTGCATCTTATGCGTAAAAATATACAAAGTGCTCCATTTATATTAAACAAGTTATCTGTCTAGCATTATCTATTAGTGACGGGAATAATCGAATTATTTTCACCATCGAATAATTAGTAATAATTCATATTTCACAATCGAATTAATAATTCGAATTATTTAGTAGTATTATAAATTTAACCTAAAAATAAATTCGTCCCAGCTAGTGCTCGTCTAGGGGCTATTTTAAACAAATTCTGAACCATTGCCATACCTATATTCTATCACTGAATAAAAAATTAAAAAAAAAATTCTTTATTCGATGTATTCTATTAACTGTGCCGAAGCCGTTTAATAAATTAAACCATAATTTAAAGTTTTAAATTTAAAAGTGCCGAGTTTATGATTGTTTCAATTCCTATTGAAAAGCTCATATCTAAAATAAAAGCTTCTTCTAAAACGATATAAGTATGTCCTTGTTCGTATTTCTTTTTCTTTTATCAGTTGCAATCAATAATTATTTAGATAAAAGAAGAAAATTAATTTTAGTGTTCGGTGAAATTTGGGTGAGATGGAAATGAACCAAATAATAGTAGTATTCTTTTATTCCTACGTGGTATAGGAAATAACAATGATTTCTGGATTTTTCTATATCGGATCGTTCCTTTCTTTGCTTGATTCCCTTTATAAATCAGTTTAAGTGAAAATTTTCAGTTCGTTCAGAACGAAAGAATACTACTAATAGTACTATACTAATTACTAATATTCGTATTTGTCCATAAGAGGTTTGATGATCATCTATTTTTTTACTTTCAACAGACAGGAACCTTAAAAGGCATATCTTTGCGTTTTTGCACTGTCTTCTATCGATTTTCAATCGTTTGCAAATTTGGTAGTATTTTAAACGTTTATTTGATTCGCTTATTTGAAAGAGAAATGGTTTATCCTGTGGAAGAAAGAATTCAAATAGTTTTTCTTTATGATGCTGAAGGTATGTGTTATTTGAGAACGGCCCGTGCTTTCAATGAGAGAAATCCGGACAAAAACGTAAGTCACGTTTATGTTAGAGATTTGATTTTAAAGTTTCAAGAAACTGGGTCGGTCAAAAATAAAACAAGGACAGGGCCCAGGGTACTGAATGAAGATGCAGATGGAAGCTATTAGTCAGTTATCAGTCAATCCAGAAGCATCAACACGCCAGTTGGCGTAAATCACAGGTATACCTCGAACATCTATCAGGAGAGTATTGAAAATGCACAAATTCCATCCCTACAAAATGAAGATTCTGCAGGAACTTGGCGACGACGATCCAGATAGAAGGTTTCAGTTCTGTGAACTAATGACGGAGGAAATTCGAAGGAAACCTTCACTCACTAAAAATATTTGTTTTAGTGATGAGTGCTCATTTTTTTTAAACGGAATTGTGAATAAGCAGAACTGCAGATACTGGAGCGATGAGAATCCGCATATTGTTGTTGAAGGACACACCCAACCTCCCCAAAAGCTCAATGTTAGGTGCGAAATACTAGGCGATAAAATTATAGGACCATTTTTCATCGACGATCCATTTTAGATTTTTTTTAAACAAGTAAAAAATTCGCTCAATGTACAGATGCTAAAAATTATATAATATTCCTAACTCATTTATTTAGAAACTGTAATAAAATTTGACAGACAATTAAATTGTGCATCTTATGCGTAAAAATATACAAAGTGCTCCATTTATATTAAACAAGTTATCTGTCTAGCATTATCTATTAGTGACGGGAATAATCGAATTATTTTCACCATCGAATAATTAGTAATAATTCATATTTCACAATCGAATTAATAATTCGAATTATTTAGTAGTATTATAAATTTAACCTAAAAATAAATTCGTCCCAGCTAGTGCTCGTCTAGGGGCTATTTTAAACAAATCTGAACCATTGCCATACCTATATTCTATCACTGAATAAAAAATAAAAAAAATTCTTTATTCAATGTATTCTATTAACTGTGCCGAAGCCGTTTAATAAATTAAACCATAATTTAAAGTTTTAAATTTAAAAGTGCCGAGTTTATGATTGTTTCAATTCCTATTGAAAAGCTCATATCTAAAATAAAAGCTTCTTCTAAAACGATATAAGTATGTCCTTGTTTGTATTTCTTTTTATTTTATCAGTTGCAATCAATAATTATTTAGATAAAAGAAGAAAATTAATTTTAGTGTTCGGTGAAATTTGGGTGAGATGGAAATGAACCAAATAATAGTAGTATTCTTTCGTTCTGAACGAAATGAAAATTTTCACTTAAACTGATTTATTCCTACGTGGTATAGGAAATAACAATGATTTCTGGATTTTTCTATATCGGATCGTTCCTTTCTTTGCTTGATTCCCTTTATAAATCAGTTTAAGTGAAAATTTTCAGTTCGTTCAGAATGAAAGAATACTACTAATAGTACTATACTAATTACTAATATTCGTATTTGTCCATAAGAGGTTATGTTTTATGTTCATTTGTAATTCGGTTACCACAGATATAATATAAAATACTACTAATTTTTATCTCGATATATCGAAAAAGATAATTCGAATTAGTTAGTTTTAATTTACTATCGAATTAGTCGTATTATTTAATTCGAATTTTCCCAACACTATTATCTATATCAATATAGAAGGAACCACTAGATATTAATAAATATATTTTCATAGGTCAAGTTTTTCTTAGTACTGGTTAAATATAAACAACAGAATGAATATACTGTAATCGAATAAATGCAACGGTTATGCAATGAAGATCGCTGTCATTTTATATATAAAATTATTTGAGGAATGTTCTCGATTGTATTTTTCTCTAAATACAGGGTGGCGCTTCTCATAAGTCGCGGAGGCTCCACGGAAAATGATAGTTTGTACTGAAATTAAATTTTTTGAGCGTATTTGGGTTAATTTAGAGCACTTCTTAAAAATACAGACAGTTCTACAGAGTATGCCCAAAAAAGTTACACATCAAGTTGTGTTTTTTGTAATAAAACACTCTATATATTAATTAATTTTTGTATTCTGTGAGAAAAATAAAGGTGAGTGTTTCATTAGAGAAGTATATAATTAAAATATAAGGTTTTTGACATAATTAACATTTTCTAAAAATGAAGAACAATTTTAAAATTTCAATAAAAGCTACCTAGATTGAAGTATAGCCAAATATGTAGTTAAAATATCTGTTGTACTTTAAATCAAATTAAAACATGATCCAAAAAATTATACAGGGTGAGACAAAATTAATATTAAACATTAGGCACTTTTAATGGGAAGGATAACTCTTTTATTTTAAATGGAACAACCAGTAAGTATATTATTCCGACATTCAACGGGGAATTCATGTCTCATCAAAATTCTATTAAAATGACCTACCCCTCAAACAGACATTTTCCTAGATATTTCATTCTTATGATTGTGTCAGTAGATCTTTATAATGTGATAAAATCTAGGTGGCTGTGATATGCCAGACGTTACTACAACATAGCTGTCAAATTAGTTCAATTTTAACAACTGGTGATCATTTTTGTATTGTGTGGTTAAAACAAAAAAAAACTTAGAAATTTGCCAAAAATGGAAACATATCGTAAATCAGAGAGAATTGATATGATTCAGTTGGTGACTGCAGTAGTATTAATTATAGGTGAATGCATATTCACCAATTAATAGAATACTTAAATTCTCATGATTTATCCAGTCTAGACTTTTTTATAGGGATATTTATATAAAATCAATTAATATATAGGGTTTTTAAAAAATTTTGATGCGTAACTTTTTTGGGGCCTTTCTCTGGAACTCTACATATTTTTATAAATGCTTTGTATTAACCTACATATGCTCCCAAAATTTCATTTCGATATAAACTACCTTTCACCTTAGAGCGTCCACGTCGTATGAGAGACGCCACCCTGTACATTAGTTTAAGTATTCTTTTAACGGATTTCAATTTTCTGGCGTTCCCTAAAGCTACAGATGAACTTCTTGCCGACAACAACAAAAGCTAAATCTAGATTAAACCTCGCCGAAATTGATGACGCCGTGTGTTTTGTCGACTTTATCTCATTCTTCTTCGAGCCGATGCTCCACTAAGATGCCGTAAATGATATATAAACTTGGAGGGGATCCAGAATTAGGTCGGGAAGTTTTCCAGCCCTAAAGGTCTCCATATACTTTAGTTTTATTGCACAGCGTAGTTAAAACACGTATGCCGGCCGGATGAACGGGTAAGCAGCCTCTAT